AGTAACAGAGTAACCACACCAACCCATTCAACATAACTCGAGTCCAAGCATCACAACACCTTCAATAAACCAATAACAAACCCCGGTATCCTAGGAAGGGAGAATACAATCAAGATACTACTATCAGTAGAGGGGAGCGTGGACAAGATGGAAAAAGGAAACCTCCCAAGGCGAAAAATCTTGTATTTCGCTCCTATCGCGAGATCCCCATCTGCACATATTCTCACTCGGTGGTGTGGTAAGAAGGGGTGTTGAATTTCTGCTTAATGTCTTCCATTGTTCTCAACAACGGCTTTGTCTAAAGCGTTTCTTTTCTATATCGCTCTATGCTATTGGGATGTATCATTTGTGGTGGTGAGACATGGTCTATTGGGTATTGATTATTGGGCGGCTATTTCGTATTAGCTAGGCTTCATTGCCAACCCAGGCTTGGAGGTGTATACTTTGTTGGGACTCATGATGCGTTTGGGCTGAAGGCAGGAAACCAGTTACTTCCCATGAAGTATGAGGTCACTTACGGAGGTACATCGTCTAAGTGTTGTATATTTCACTAGCAGGGGGGCGATCGGCTAGCAGGAGAGGAGGAGTAGATAAGGCATAGTGGCATATGCGAGTGTGGCTAGGAAATCTGAAAGATACTGTCAACGGTAATCTGAATGGTAGTCTGAACGGACACAGTATGAAAATGTATTTTGAAGTAACGGACATGTATCTAAGATTTTGTAAAAAGCCCATTCGCATCAATAACTGCTTGACATCTAGCTGGCACGCTTTCTACCAGCTCTCTAAACTCATATGGTCTAACATTTGTCCAAGATTCCTTCACTGCCTCCCTTAATCTATCATAGCTCATATTTTCTGGAAAATTATCTTGTAGATAATTTTTCATAATATGCCATACCCTCTCAATTGGATTCAAGTCTGGAGAGAAAGCAGGTCAATGAATAACCTCAATGCCTCTTTCTCTTAGCTCAGTTCTTGTATCTCCTGCTGCATGTCCAGGTGCACCATCCTGTATCAGCTTTAAAAAACCCCATTCCTTCTACACAATTCAAGATACCCATGGATAATAGGTACTGTATATGCACCATAGCTCTCTGATTTATTGGGCCCCAATCCCTCTCCCCAAAAAATTCACGACCCTGAATATCTCCTTTGAAA